CCGCCGCGGAACGCGCCCGGATGCGGCATCGGCGGCGGCGGCGGGTGCCGGTGGCGCGGCAGCGGCAGCGGTGGGTGGTGGTGCGGATGGTGGTGCGGGGGCCCGTGGGGGGGGCCGTGAGGGGGCCCATGCGGCGGGCCGTGCGGCGGGCCGTGGTGGTGGTGGTGTGGCCCGCTGTGGGGGTGTGGGTTCCGTCCCATGTGCAGGTGCGGCTGTGGCAGCTGCAACTCGGGGCGGCGTCCGCTGGGGCTGGCGTCGCCGCTGCGAGAGCGCCCAAGGCTGGGCTGCTGCGGCGCAGCGGGAGCGCCACCACCAGCAGCGCCACCGCCAGCAGCTGCTGCTGCAGCAGAGGCAGCGGGCGGCTGGGGTGCCGCGGGTTCCTCCTCTGCCGGCACCTCGCCCTCCTCGTAAACCTCTCCTTCCTCTAGGTCTGAATCCGCTGCCATGGCTACAAGAAGCCGTGTGTCGTGGGTGGCGGGTGGAGGGACGACTACAAGCACGACATGCAGCGTAGCTGACTATTCTCGAATAAACTTATCTCTAGCATCGAAATCTTTTTAGCATAATACATCTGTCGCGTGATGTTTTGGGAAGAAAGCAACAACCGTGGTGATCTGAACGTGATCCTGCCTACCGTTGCAAGTGCGGTGTTGGAGGGCGAGATTTTTGCAAGTGGATTCAAATTCAATCCTCTCAGGGCTCGTTTCTTTGGCAGGTGCCAAGCTACAGTAGCGCTACTCTGCATGCACCAGTCCTCTGCACATGGACGCTGACCGGGCAATGAATCATTCGCCGCGAGCTGTTGCAGACCTTATTATGTGATTGCAGTAACCAGATATCTGCAACTGCTGCTGGGGGAGCACGGCGTGATGTGGGATACTCAGATACGGCGCCCTCCACCCTGGAGAAGCTGCTTCGTGGGCAACGTGCCCAAAACAGATCTTGGCAACACACATTGGATTATTTGACAGGCAGGTCCTTCCCCTTTCACAAGCCTTACCAGCGGCTTTGATGTAGCTGAGCACAGGGTGCGTGTGATATGAAACCCTCAGAGTCATGAGGCTACAGTAGCGAATGCGTCAACCTGTGACGCCCTTGAGTTCTTGCGATAATCTGTTCCCAATGAGGCCGCCTTCGACAGAAGAAAGTGAATGGTAACATGACACTTTTCCAGACTACAGCATGCAGTCGTCTGGCAGACTATCCACTCTGATGCGGCTCCGTCATGCATGCGGCCCGGAGCAGCAGGCGCGAACCAGGAACGAACAAGCAACCCGATGCACAGCCCCCAACATGCCGCTCATGAAACCAGCCTCCTGGCATTGACAGTGACAAAGATCAGGCTGCTATCCTGGCAACTGCTGAGAAACATGCGCTACGCCATGTTTGGACCCTCCATCACAGGACCAGCAGGGCCAGCCACCAATGTCGCCAGTCTGTGGCTGGCCCGCAGCCGGCTGCCACGCCCGTTTTGCCGGCTGGCACGACGCCGCCTGTAGTTGATTGTGGTAGCAGGATGACTGTTTGCAGAGAGGTGCGGCTGCAACTCCCGGCACCACAAATCTTTGCAGCTGTGGAAGTCATCGCTGTCCACCCAGGGTTACGCCGCCCTTCACGGTCTGCAATTGGGCCCGCCCAGACTGGAACTCCGCCCGTGCACCTCCAAAGAGCTTTTTCTTAGTTGGAACACTCAATGATGGCTGCGCCCAAGGCGCTGCAGGTATTGTGTAACGAGCAGGGCAATCACTCGTGAGTGCATCACCACCCGACTCGCTTCGTTGTCTTACACCCCCCCAACACTCTGGGGCCGCAGCCCTCGCCGCAGCTGATTGAGTAGCTGAAATTAGTCCGCAGTCTCGTAGCCACGGGCCTGGCAGCTAGGTTGGACCAGCGCCAACAAAGCACATCGAGGTGATCACTGCGGCCCATTATTAGCCCCGGGGAAAAACAAGCGCAGGCGAGCACGATGATCGTGTGCTGCTTACCATGACAATTTATCTGTCCATTGTTGATGCTTGGCCTGGATCGGAGCGGCGGGCTTGCTTCGTTTTGTCACGCACCAAGCACACCCTCATTGCCAGGACACGGAAGAACGGGGTTCTGGAATAGAATCTATTCAGAAAGGTCGTGCACTGGGGTGGCGGCCTGTGGACTCACAACCACCCATCAAAGGTCGCCCTGACACGGTGGGGCGGCGCTTCGCGCGCGCGGCTCCAGCGCGCCAAGCGGGCCACGATGGGCCGCGAGAAACCCAAGATAGCTCTGGAACAGGTAAAAGGAGCTACCAAGGGAGGATGCCCCGCGAGCGGCACCTGCCTGAGTCGCTTTGACAACAGCCCGTCATCCCCACGCGGGTGTTGCATCACGACGTGCGCCCGCCCGCCCCTGGTTGGACGCCGCCCCGCCGCGCCGCCACGGCCCCCTTCTAATGCGCCGCCCTCCTCCGCCACCCTCCCTCCTTGCCCATGCAACCCTGTCCCGCCTGTGCTCCGCACGACCCTCGACCCTCGCAGCTGGCCGACACGCTGCGCCAGCGGCAGGAGCAATTTGAGTGGCTGCAGCAGGAGAATGTGCGCCTGCTGCGCCGCGCGGCGGCGCTGGAAG